CCGCCTGAGACTTCCTCCAAATTCAGGCTTGAGGAGCCCAAAAGTGACGACAGTTACAGGGTTCCGATGACCCGCTCGGATTACCAACATGATCTGCGGGCCCCATAGGGAGGGAGCTCCCGCCTGAGACTTCCTCCCAATTCACTCACAGACGAGGCTCCCGCCTGAGACTTCCTCCATTTTCAGGCCTGGGGAGCCCAAAAGTGACGACAGTTACAGGGTTCCGATGACCCGCTCGGATTACCAACATGATCTGCGGGCCCCATAGGGAGGGGGCTCCCGCCTGAGACTTCCTCACAATTTACTCAACGATGATGAGGATGAGGATGATGAGTGGTGGTGAAGATGAGTGGTGAAGAGGATGATGATTGATTGTGAGTGGTGGTGGCGATGATGATGTTTGAATGAGGATGATGCCGATGCCGATGATGATGATGATGATGATGATGATGATTCGTGAGCGTGTGAGAGAGTGCGAGTGATGATGATGATGAGTATGTGAGTGACTAAGCATGTGAGAGAGCATCATCGATGATGCTGATGAGGTTGATGATGAGAGAGTGCGAGTGAGTGTGAGTGTGTGTGTGTGTGTTCCTGTTCCTGCGCGGGGTGTCCAGAGAAAACAAGAAACCCACTTTGGATGTGGGGAAATTCCTTCCAGGCATTCGTCACCCCAGGGCCTCCTGGAACGCCCCGGCGCCCAATGAATTGGCGAGCTAAAAACGTGCGCCGTATTGTTTACAGTCAGGATGGGAGGGCCCGCAGCCCGCATGGACGTCCGCGCGCGATGCGCGCCGCGTCCCATTCCTGCCACATATTTCGCACCGTCGGCGACAAGGCAGGCCATGCTGAGAGGAAAAAGGTAAGATTGTATATTGATGTTTTACAGTCGGGATGGGCGGGCCCGGATTGACGGCCGCGCGCGATGTGCGCCGCGTCCCATATGTGCGCCGCGACCCACTGTTGCCACATATTTCGCACCGTCGGCGACAAGGCCGGCCATGCTGAGAGGAAAAAGCGAAGACTTTGTATTGATTTTTTACAGTCAGAATGGGCGGGCCCAGATTGACTGCCGCGCGCGATGCGCGCCGCGTCCCATTCCTGCCACGTCTTTCGCATCGTCGACGACAAGAAAGACGATGTTGAGAAGAAAAACGGCCACTTTGTATTGATTCTTTACAGTCCGGATAGGAGGTCCCAGATGGGGGTGCTATCGGCCGGAATACGAGGTAGGTGGGGGTATATAATAATAAGGAACAAGGATTCGCATGTGCCCCCCCCCAGGTGTACAGGCGCCATATGCGAGTCATCAGGGCCGTGGCACGGTTTGTGTCGATCCGATCGAGCCGATTTCGATTTCAATTTCGACCAGTTCGATCAGACTTCATGCCACTTTGCAGGCGGTCCGATGTGGCCCACTGCTTGCATGGCGTTGCTGGTGCGATCTAGATTTCGTGCCTGTGCGGCCTGATCCGACGCGCGTTCCGATTCGGCCCGACTTCCCGATGCAGTGTTGACCGAGCCTGCCCTGATGTGCCGTCGCCGTTCGCCGGCTGTCGTGGCGCTGGCGCGAAGTCCGCCAGGAGTTCCCGAAGTGGAAGGACAAGGACCACAACGTTGCGTTCAAGGCCTGGCGCGCGTGCGGCCGCAAGCGCGCGCCGCGCTTGTCCTCCTCCACCCACTCTTCGTCGCGGCCAGCTCTCCTTTTTAACTACATCGGGGAAACGTAAGACTCGAGTTTGCCGGAACTCGGGTTTGCCGGCGCTCTCTGACGGGCGCGTCCTGGAGTCAGACGGTCCTGTCGTCGTGGGACGTTTGCAAAAGGGAGTTCGCTCGACATGTCAGATTGGGTCCCTTCTTCCCTGACCTTCCAGAGTGCAAAAAAATAACACTCCAGACCTATAGATCTATCTGGACTGCCTCAAACCTCGACAAGCATTAGGACGTCGACGTCCTGGTGCTATTTTTTAGCCCTCCCGGAAGGTCAAGGATTATCATGATGCCCCGTCGGGCCAGGCCGAGTCCCCCGGACCCGCGTCGCACGTCCCCCCGAGGGCCACCTTGTGCTCGGCCGGGGCTCTCGCTGCCGGGCCGCTCCTGGGCACCCGGGTCGGGGAGCCCGCTCGCGGCCCCCCTCCGCTCCTCGCCCGGCGCCGCTCGTGCCAGCACGGCGAGGCCGTGCCTCCGGAGCGGGGGGGGGGCGACGGGGGTCGGGCCGGACGAAAGGGGGGGGATGGGAAAGGGGGGGGGTGCGAAATCCGCTGCATGCAGCTGGTTGCGGCCCCACCGAAGGGCCCATTCCTCGAGACGTAGCCGCCTCCGGCGCCAGGAGGCGCCGGGAAGATCAGCTACGTGAGCTGATTCTCAAACCCCCCCTTTGCTATCCCCCCCTTTCGCCCGACCCGATGGGGGCGCGGCTTCTGCAGCGAGGCCGCTTGAGCGGCGGATGGATCCTCGGGACCGATCTTCGGCGACCTCGGCAGGCGGCGCATCTGGACGCCTGCGGGCCTCTGCGGGGGCCAGCCGTGTCCCATATCCACCGCTTGCCGGCGTCCCCGGAGCTCGGCCTCCGCGGCGGTGGTCACGGGACAAGTCCCCGCACATCGTGCGCCCTGGCTTGGCGCTGACCTTCAGGGGAGGCGCACGGAGGACGAGGAGGAGGAGGAGAGGCGAGGAGGGCCACTACGAATGCGCCTCGGCGGGCCGTCCACGGCCAGGAAACACACGATGCCTCGAAAGGCTCCCTCTTCAGGATTCTGCATCCGACGGATTCTGCCTCGCGCCGGCGGAGAAAAACCCCTCCTCGCGCCGGCGCGCCCCGAGCGCAGCTATACCCTGAGCACCCCCCCCCCCGTGCCACTGCGCTCGACGGCCCGTCGTCTTGCAGCGCGTGTCTGGGACGGTATCTCTCGCACATTCGCTCTGCGCGGGCGCTGGTGCGCCCGGAGGCGGGTCCCCCCGCTGACGCGGCACGCAGGGGCGGCCTGCCCGATCCCTGGCAAGCCGTCCCCTTCCGTGACGCCCCCCCTCGCCTCGCCCCGAGACGTATCAGGAGGGACAAAAAACACACAGACACAATTAATCGTCGATCCCCCAGAAAATATGGGAAAATATGGGAAGTGGTGGGGAAGACAAAAACCCAGAAAATACATGAAAATATGGGGAATCCTTTTATTTGTGTGTATTTATTTGTGTGTCCCAGGGCCCCTCCAACGTATGCATGCGGCCAGGGGGCAGCTCGGAAGGCGAGGATGACGTCACGGGAGGGGATGGTTTGCTAGGGGCCGGTCAGGCCGCGCCCGAGGCACCCTGGCACGGGCCCTTCGCCTTTCGCATTCACTGTCGCAGGCGAGGGCTTGGAACTGGCATCGCCCCGACGTATTTCTACAATGCTTGCGTCGGCTCCGCACGGAGCTCCGCACGTGCTGGCTTCGTCTACTCGGGGCGCCGGACGCAGGGTTTGCCCTGGGTTCGCCGTGGTTTCGGCATCGTCCGTCTGGGCGCGTTCAGAACAAACGGCGCGGTGATACATATATCTATCTTCTTCTTCTTCCTGCATTATTGCAAGCCCAGGCGAGGGGAAAACCCGTCTCCCCCCCCCCCCTCCAAACGGACTCCCAGGATCTGGGGCTTTGGGACCCTCCGGACGGGCCTCGAAGCGGCCACCGGGCCTCGCAGGGCGGCAACCGGCCGCCGCGGCCTCGAAGCAGCACGCCCAGGGCGATCCGGGTGGTCATCGGAGACGTCCCAGAGACCCCCAAGACAGCACAAGTCAGAGCGGGAATTACCTACCCCGCTTTCGCTTCCAGGCAAGACCAAGTCATACCACGCGCCTCCTCGTCAAGCGGCCTGACCAGTACAGGCCGTAGTTTGGCATCGCTTGGTATCTCTTGGAAGCGAGGGTGGTCAAAAGCGAGGTAGGTTAGTTTGCCCCCTAACAAGAGCGCTCCAAGAGTGACCAACGTGACCTCAAGATGGCCCAAGAGGCCTCCAGGACGGCCCCAAGAAGGCCTCCAAGAGCCCTTCTGTGGGTTTCTGGTGAATTTTGGGGTTCTCCTCTTTTCGTCTTCCCGACGCTCCAAGACGGCGGTCTTCTGGGCGTCCGAAGCCGCCTGGGAGGCTCCCAAATCGCCCCACAACCATCCGAAAGGGCTTCCAGGCAGTCCAAGAGAGCCCCAAAACGGCACAACACGGGTCCAAGATTGCCCTCAGAGAGTCCCATGGCGGCCCAAGATGGCCCAACGACACCCTCCGAAGAATTCCAAATCGTGATTCGGTCGTTCAGGGAGACCGCGGTTGGAGGCAGGGTGGCCCGAGGAAGCCCCTGGAGGCCCCCAGAGTACGCCCAGGAGGCCTCCAGAAGGCCTTAAGAAAGCCTGAAACAACTGATGTGAGGCACCTAGAGGCTCTCCAAGGAGGAGCCTCCGAAAAAAAGAGCTGAGGATGAAGGGGATAATACGCAGGGTATGGCGAAACTAAAGAAAAATAAGCATGGAGGAAGGATAACGAATAACATTATTATAGCGGCGATGCTGGAAAAGGCAACCAGGAGTTATCGCTAAATGGTCGGCTTGACCTTTTCTGCTATTCCGCCTGCACACCAAACTTGAAGGACCAAGGTGCAGGGCGCGAAGCGCCACTGCAGTCTTGTATGTATGTGTGCATACAATGTATGTGTATGTGTATATATATATATATGTATATATGCTCGATCGGACGATAGGTTCGATTCGGTTAGTAAGTACTCATGCATCCCGTGGAAGTCTTCTAGACGGCTCCGTAGCCAGTTTAGCTCAATAAACTTCAGTTCAAGCCGTTTGAGTTCGAGTGAGTTGAACCAAGTTTGGCCCGGGTGCCAGCGCCAGCTCGCGGCGGGGTTGCCGTGGCTCAGATTGAGGAGGTCGAGAATAAGTCGTCCAACATTGCGCTTACTGCAGCGATTCGGCTTGCTCGAAAGTCTATTCGGCAAGTTGCGATGTGTCGTGTTGCTCCAAGGGCTGTCGGCAGGCTGATTGGAAGGCATACCGCAAGGAGTGCGCCAGAAAGCATGAGCCTAAGCCAAAGGACGCCCCGAAGATCGATAACTCCTGCGTCCTCTGTGGGAGCAGGGTTTTTTTCGAGCTGTGGGAGCTGGTAGTGTTCTCATGAATGCTGCAGCGGTAACGTGAACGACCTGGCCGCCCAGATCAGGCAGCTGAATACCCCGAAGGAGAACGAAGCGGCAAAGGAGATATTCCGACTCGAGAGTTTCATCGCCTCATCGAGCGCAATGTTTGTTGAGGAGTTCTCGCCTCAGGCCAAGGACCTCAACGATCACATCAGCTCGGATGCAATTGCTGGGGGGTCAAGTTCTGACTTTGCCCTCCCCGAAGGGGAAGAAGGGGGTTGGAAGAGGAGCCTCTCTAGTCCACCTGCGCCTAGAGGGCTGGAGGGATTGGAGCAGATCGTGGCCGCTGCAGCGCGAGTCGAAGGACGGCAGAACGGTAGGTTCATGCAATGTTTGCAGGGCGGCGACGTTGGCGAACGTGTTCAAAGTTTGATTCTGCGATTCGAGGCATTGATGAACACGGTGGCGCCATTGGACCTGACCGAACTCAACCTTGAACGAACGGGGCCGCGATCGATTCAAGGCTGAACGATCGATGCGGTGTCGAAAACCTTTGCGCGAGACGACGCCGCGCGAACCTAACGGATCCCCGCGGGTGTGGCCTCGATGTGGAAGTGGTCGCATGTTGTTACCGCCGAGCAGGCTGGGGGAGGGGGAGAGGTGACCACCGCCAGACCACCAGGGGGGGCCACCTCCAACGGGGTCCACGGCGCCGCCGCCCCCACCAGGGGGTCCACTTCCAGCGAGGGGGGTCGAAGATGTATCCCCGAGTTGGGGACGGAGTCGAAAAACGAACTCTATACACCGACGCTTTTTCCGACCATGCGCTGAAATTCACACAGGAACGCGGATCCTGGTGTATACGGGATCTTGGTGTATACATGTTTCGATGTTTCCTTTGGAAAACGGTGGAAAAGTATACGCCACGCCACCCCGACGTCGTCCCCGACCGTCAGCAAGTCGTCCCCGACGTCGTCCCCGCATCGTCGGCGCGAGGTAACCTCCCATCGGAAACTGGAACATATACATTACCAGTGGCGGGTTGTTCGAGGGTCGGGGACGACGTCGGGGTGGTGTGGTGGCGACGAAGGCCCGCTGCCCTCGGGTTCGAGAGGCCCCCTGCGGACGGCATGCGCCCCCGCCTCACGGGGCTTCGGCCCCACGTGGGGCGCCGCGGGGGCCCGCGGCAGCCCAGGTCGGAAATTGGAACATATACATTGCCAGTGGCTGGTTGTGTTTTCAACCCCACGATTTGTTGACGGTCGGGGACGACGTCGGGGTGGCGTGGCGTATGCGTTCCCCCCGTTTTCCAAGGGAAACAACGAAACATGTATACACCAGGATCCCGTATACACCAGGATCCGCGTTCGTGTGCGAATTTCAGCGCATGGTCGGAAAAGAGCGTCGGTGTATAGAGTTCGTTTCCTTACATGGGCCTCCCCGAGCGCGACGGCCCGATCCTGCTGTGGTGGCCTCGGGAGCAAACGATTACATAGACATGAATCCATGGAGGTCCGCTTATGGTGTCTTGGAAACTCCCTGGGGCGTTTCTTGATAGTTTCCGGCGTTTGTGTCTTGTGAGCCAACAGCGGGCACCTAGAGACGATCAGTTGGAAATTAGTTTAAATCGAGTGGGCGCAAGCTTGAAACGGGAAGGAAACGGCCCCTTGGAAATTGTTAAAAATCGGGTTGGTGAACAAGCGACACAAAACGAGAGTGCCGATGATAATGAATACGGGGCGTGCGGCGCAGCGGGCATCAGCAGCAGCGAGCAGTAGCAGCAGGCAGTAACAACAGGCAGTATCAGCACCAGACAGCATAGGAGGAAGGTGGCTTCTGCAGAAGGCAGGAGGTGCAACAGAGAAGCTGTTTGGAGAGAGTGTCGAGCTCTTATCGTGCCTTACCTGTCAGTCGCTGTCCGACACACCGGAATGGGGGATTGGAAATGCGTTGAAAACGTATTGGAAACGTATTGGAAACGGTCTCAACCAGGCAATTCCGACTTTTTTGCCCAGGGGAAGCGGAAACATTGAGGATGTCGCCGCCGCCGGTGAGACCGCGGTTACAACGCCGACGCCGCCGTTATGACACCGACGATGTCTCCGGCTCTGACGCGCACGGGATCGGACAGCGAACGACAGTCAACGCACGAAAGAGCTCAGAGAAGCTATTTAGAGAGAGCGCGTCGATCTCTTATCGTGCGCTGCCTGCCAGTACCGGATACAACACAGCACGTTGCGAGGCAGACTTGGAAATTATGAAAACACGAAGTTGGAAATTAGTTATTATTGAAAAAACGATCCCTTGGATTGACGATGGAAAAGATTTAATATATATATATATATATATATATATACATCGCCGCGGAGACCTGAAAACGACAAACAAAAATGAAGCCAGAAACGATTGAAACACGTGTTTTTGAATCGAAGTTGGAAGTTGTAGGTATATATATATATATATATAGATATACATACAAACTTAGTATGCTTAATCTTGTTACTAGTTCAAGTTGTTATAAAAGGCGTTTTCAAGACACACTAAGGAGGTCCGCTCCCATTTCTCGGATAAGCGCTGGGCCCCTTCTCCCGGGCTCGCGGAGCGCGCCACGTCGCGCATGCTACCAAGGGCGACATTTTGATATCGTGGTGCTGAGGCGCGGCTCTGATGTGACAGCGCTACGCGGTGCTAGGCTATGCGCCACTGTGCGAACGACGCGTTGCTGCGCAGTTGTGTGCTGCCAGGCTTGGCCATGCAGTGCTATGCTCAGTCATGCCCTGTCTGCACCTCCTGATCGGCCAGTGGGCTGGCTGATCGATCGGTCAGGCTGTCGCAGCCAAGCTTCCTCGGCTTTGCGTGCTCCTTTTGGGCCCAGGCCGCCTGGCACGGCCTGGGCGCACCCTTCGGCAGCCAAGGGGGCTGGAGGGTCGGGCGTTGCCAGAGGTGTCCTTGGGCGTCCTCGGTCCTTGGGCCAGGGTGTCCCCAGTAGTTCCACGGAGGCCCCACGTCAGGTTCCACTTCGATCCGATCGATCCGACTCGATATCGATTTCGGCCAGCTCGATCCGATTCGGTGCCGATGTTTCGACGATCTGGATGTCGGCACGATGTTCACATGGCATTTCACCACCCACCGAACCACCCCAACCCAACCCGAAGGCTTCTTTTTGCCCTCCATTTCCAGTGGGGGGGGGTCCGGGAACATCGAAAAAACACATATGGAGCCCATACCCCCCCCAACCCGAAATTCGGGTCTTCGGGTTGGGTTGGGGTGGTCTGGTAGGTAGTCAGCATTGTCGTGCATGTGAATCCTGGCGCGGCCACGCCGATTCGACGCTGGCTCGGTGCAGATCTGGCCCAGCCCGACGCGCGTCCCGATCCGACCCGTTGCCGATCCGGCATGGGCCGATCATGCCCACCAGCCCCAGGGAGGCCCCAAAGTGCAACGAGAAATTGTAGCTTGGCACCGCTCGGACGTGTGCATTTTTTCGGCGAGAGCCATCGAGGCGCATCCTGGGCCATGGAGCAACAAAAAGCACGCACGACACCGAACAAATGCACGGGAAGGTCGCCACCCTGGGCGACGGCAACGTGGCCACCCTGGGAGGTAGACTGCGGGAAGGCAGCAAAGAAAACACGCATCGTCCGAGCGACGGCAAGGTACTCCAGATTTCGGAGTAAAAGGGAGGGGGTCTGGACCCTCCAAGACGAGCCATTTCAGACCTCCCCCGTGGGAGAACCCTCCAAAACATCGTTCCCAGACCCCCCAGGCCCTCCAATATAGCCTGGAAGAGACCCCCCCCCCGAAATGAGACCCCCCTCCCTTTCTTACGAAATCTGGAGTAGCCACTGTGGGCCAGGCACCTCTGGCAACCCGCGAGAGGGGGGGGGCCGGCGCGCCCCGCATGCGCGGCGCTGGCCCGCGCCGGTCCAGCCAGAGGCGCGGCCTGAGCGGATCCGCCGGGCTGCTGCTGCGGTGCGGCCTCTTTTGGGCGACGCCGGTGTCGTTTCTGCTGCTGGAGATCGCGGAGAAGGACCGGGCGGGCAGCAACCCCAGACATGCTAGCGTCGTGAAAGATTCAGGACGGAGGTTGTTCGCCGTTTTCGGGCTCTGGAGGCCTTCGCCGGGCCTCGGGACTGTCAAAAAACGACTCTGGATGAAAACCGGCCCCGGGGAAGGGGTCGGGACTTCCGGGGGCGCCGTCCTGAAAAAATCAGGACGTCGCATGTCTGGGACGGAATCGGGCATCGAGAAAGCGCCCCTAAACCAGACAAGTCCATTGCGCAAGTTTGCGCATGTTCATTCGACGGTGGCATTCGGGTGTGCCGCTGCAGTCCCCAGCCGGTTTCGCCAGACGCGTTTTGCCCGATGCACTCGGTAGTTTTTGTTGACGCTGATGAGCTATTCCGCCCGGGTCCGCAATGCGGCGCCGTGGGCACGTGGAGTGCCTATGGCAGCTTGCACGAAAGGGCGGTTTGCGAAAGAGGCCCTCGTCCACCGACTGTACTGACGAACGGACAACACACACACACACACACACCCGTACCCATAGGGGGGTCGGCGGGAGGAGGACTTGCTTTGGGTATGGGTGCTGGTTGTCAGACCGCGGGGGAGGCTCCCGTTCGAGCGGGGACCCCCATCAGACAACACGCACCCACAGCCCGGTCCGTCCTCCCTATGGGTATGGGGTCGTGTTGTTCGTTCGTCATATACGTGGAGGGGGTCGAGGGCTGCGAGGACGTGGCTCTCAAAGAGCCCCAGGCAGCCTCGAAACTGCCACCGCGGGCCGAGGAGATGCACGAACAAAATGGTACGTCACCCGCGGCAGCGGGGGGGCAACTTCAACGTGGCTTGGCATCGCTCGGACGTGTGCATTTTTCCTTCGGCGAGGACCATCGAGGAACATCCTTGATCATTTGGCAAAAAAATTATGCTAACGGAGTTCCCCACATAAAGACATTTCACGGTCTCGTGGGACCCATGGGGTACGACAACATCAACACGAAGGAGAAGCTGGAGAGGCGGGGCCTCCCTGGGGAGGTGGGAAGGGCACGAAACCATGTAAATAGTATAGTTTTCGGATACCCTCCTCGCTCAGGCGGGGCCTCCCTGCAGGGGTGGGAGGGGCACGAAACCATGTAAATAGTATGGTTTTCGGATACCCTCCTCGCTCAGGCGGGGCCTCCCTGGAGGGTGGGAGGGGCACGAAACCATGTAAATAGTATGGTTTCCGATACCCTCCTCGCTCAGGCGGGGCCTCCCTGGAGGGGTGGGAGGGGCACGAAACCATGTAAATAGTATGGTATTCCGATACCCTCCTCGCTCAGGCGGGGCCTCCCTGGAGGGGTGGGAGGGGCACGAAACCATGTAAATAGTATGGTATTCCGATACCCTCCTCGCTCAGGCGGGGCCTCCCTGGAGGGGTGGGAGGGGCACGAAACCATGTAAATAGTATGGTATTCCGATACCCTCCTCGCTCAGGCGGGGCCTCCCTGGAGGGGTGGGAGGGGCACGAAACCATGTAAATAGTATGGTATTCCGATACCCTCCTCGCTCAGGCGGGGCCTCCCTGGAGGGGTGGGAGGGGCACGAAACCATGTAAATAGTATGGTTTCCGATACCCTCCTCGCTCAGGCGGGGCCTCCCTGGAGGGGTGGGAGGGGCACGAAACCATGTAAATAGTATGGTATTCCGATACCCTCCTCGCTCAGGCGGGGCCTCCCTGGAGGGGTGGGAGGGGCACGAAACCATGTAAATAGTATGGTATTCCGATACCCTCCTCGCTCAGGCGGGGCCTCCCTGGAGGGGTGGGAGGGGCACGAAACCATGTAAATAGTATGGTTTTCCGATACCCTCCTCGCTCAGGCGGGGCCTCCCTGGAGGGGTGGGAGGGGCACGAAACCATGTAAATAGTATGGTTTTCGGATACCCTCCTCGCTCAGGCGGGGCCTCCCTGGAGGGGTGGGAGGGGCACGAAACCATGTAAATAGTATGGTTTCCGATACCCTCCTCGCTCAGGCGGGGCCTCCCTGGAGGGTGGGAGGGGCACGAAACCATGTAAATAGTATGGTTTCCGATACCCTCCTCGCTCAGGCGGGGCCTCCCTGGAGGGGTGGGAGGGGCACGAAACCATGTAAATAGTATGGTTTTCCGATACCCTCCTCGCTCAGGCGGGGCCTCCCTGGAGGGGTGGGAGGGGCACGAAACCATGTAAGTAGTATGGTTTTCGGTATGGAGTGGTATGGAATGGTATGGTAGGTATGGTATGGTACGGTATGGTATGATATGGTATGGTATGGTACTGGAGGTATGGTATGGTATGGTACGGTGTGGCATTGGTGTGATATGGTATGGTATGCTATGGTACGCCATGGTATGGTATGGTACGGTATGGTACGTATGGTGTGGTATGGTATGGTATGGTATGGTATGGTATGTGTGGTAGGAACTATGGTATGGTATGGTGTGTGTGGTAGGAATAATATTGTGCTGTATGGAAGATGGAGCGGGAGGTGGGTGGGAAGGAGAGGGTGTTCTGGGAAAACAAGAACCCCACTCAGGATGTGGGGAAAAACACGCACGAAACCGAAAAAAGCTCAGAGATAGGACGTCCGAGCGATGGCCAGACGAGGATTGCAGGAACATGACCCGAAAACGACCCTGGGCGGCCCCTACGAGGCCACCGCGGGCCCCGAAGGTGCCCACGTTTACCGCCCCCGCGTCGGCGAGCACCTGCAAGAGGAGGCCGAGGGCAGCACCGGCACCGACAGCGTCGTGGCGGCGCTGCCCGCGCTCGCCGCGCTGCTGCTCGTCGCGAGCTGCAACCTCGCGGCGGACTGCTTCCTCCGCTGCGGCGGCTATCTGCTGCTCCTGCAGGTGCGTTCGGCAGCAGCCCATGGGAGCCATGCGCGTCCTCGCAGTCCCGCCGTGAGGGTACAGTCAACCATGGTAGTGAGGATGGGGCGACTTTCCAAGGCTGCCCTTGCATCCGTGCCCCTTCGGTATTCGGCATCCTTCGGCATTCTGCTGCGCTCCGCACGGAAAACGTCAACATGGCGTTCCAAGGCACTTGCATCCTCACCGCGGATCCTTACTGTCCTGGTCGAGTGTGCACTGGCGTGCGCTAGCGTGTGGTACTCGATGAGAAGGCGCCGACACAGCGTCGATTAGCAGTGATTTAGCGTCGATTGGCATCGGGTCGCATCGACTGGCTCGCGTCGGCCAGGTCATGATGGACCTCTTCGGAGGGGTTTTGGGACCGATTTTGAGCGGATGTGGGGCGTGCCCTAGGGGCGTGGTTGTCGTGAATTGTGGCAGCTTTCTTTCACTGCATTTCCTGCCCCCCCCTTGCCGCCGCCACTTCAAGCAGCGCGTTGGGTCGAGAAGGCGCGCAAGCAGGTCCAGACTTGCGCGAAGCCCATACCTCCTTTCGGGCATCGCCACGCCCCCCCCCCCTCCGTGTAAGCAAACTTGCCAGGGTCCAGAGCAAGACTTCCTCCAGGTGCCGCTCCAGCTGGCCCTCGTCCTCCGGTACGCCAGCGGGCAGCACCTGTGGCCGCCGGACGAGGCGCCCGGCGCCGCCGCGGGGATTCCGCAGGAGGCCCTGGCCATACAGCATCGAGGGGAGAAACGCGATGACCCTGACCAGGATGATGATCGTTCTCTTATTCATTGTTTTGCCGATCGGCGCGGTCCCTCGCACCCCCTCATCCCCCCCACCCATGGAGTAGATCTTGGCTGTTCTTGGCGCCCGTTTCAAGCAGGCGTTGTCGCCCCCATCGAACGCACTGCTGCAAACAGTCGCGTTACGCAGAGGTCCGGAGCCAGACGCCCCCCCCTGCCCCCCTTCCGCCCAATCTCGAATCGCCGAGTAAGAGAACGTTCACATGTCGTGGAATCTTGTCGACGCCGATCTTTCTTGGTCATGGTCCACGCCGGCCAGAGCCCATTCGCGAGGACTGCCCACGAATCGGCGCTGAACAAGATGGGCGATGACCAAGGCCGGCGCCGACGTTTCCGCTTGCAGTTTTGTTCGGTAGCCAATCACGGGGATGTCCTCGTAATTCCGTCTTTACAGCGCAATCGCGTGCGCTAGCGTCTGGTACTCGATGAGAACGCGCAGACTTCTAGTGTCGACCAGAGCTGATTCCGCATCGATGAGCGTCGCCGAGCGTCGCAGAGCGCCGACTCGCATGAGCCACCCCGATGGCATGGGAGGCTCCCCTATGAGCTTGGCATCGCTCAGACGTGTGCATTTTTTCTCGGCGAGAACCATCTAGGACCATCCTGGACCATCGAGCAAAAAAAACGCACGAAATCGAAACATGCGAGGGAAATGGACGTCCGAGCGACGGCTACATGAGCCAGGAGCGAAGGAAGAATGCATCCCTGCGTGAATCCATGTCGGCTCCGAGCGCGCGCCTCGCGCGAACGCTCGCGCCACGAGGCCCGTCCCTCGCGGACGGGGGGGGGGCCGCACCCCTGCACGCGGCACAGGGCGCGTGCAGGGATGCGGTCCTGGCGTCTTGGCGTCTTCAAAGGATTTTCTGACCATGTTTAAGTATGTCAGTATTTTTTGATTTTCTACCATATCCTAAGATGGGGTTATTGTTATTTCTTGGACGCCGCCGACTCCAGAGAACAAGAACACACCCAGAACACAGACTTACTCATGCACAGACTTACTCATATTCAGACTTACTCATACCCAGACGTACTCATATTCAGACTTACGCATACCCAGACTTACTCATACACAGACTTACCCATACACAGACTTACTCATACGAAGACTTACTCATACTCAGACCTACTCACACTCAGACTTAATCATACCCAGACGTACACATACACAGACTTACTCATACACAGATTTAATCATACTCAGACTTACTGATACCCAGACGTACTCATACACAGACTTACTCATTCTCAGAGCTACACATACCCAGACCTTAGCATAGTCTGAGTCACTCACCACACAGAAGAGTTTGAGGATGTCTCAGGCGGGGCGCTGGCTTCAGCACCCCTAAGGGGAGCCGCCAGGGGGTATATCACGGGCCCGTTCGCGGCAAGTTTGTGGGGATGTCTCAGGCGGCTTGCCTGTTTCGGTGTCCAACATCGTCTGCGCCTACAGCAGACTTAAAGGATATCAAAGGATGTCTCAGGCCGGGCGCTGGTTTCAGCACCCCTAAAGGGAGCCGCCAGGGGGTATATCACGGGCCCGTTCGCGGCCAGTTTGTGGGGATGTGTCAGGCGGTTTGCTTGTGTCGGTGCCCAACATCGTTTGCGATTACAGCAGATTCGGAGAATGTCACGATCGGGGCGCTGGTTTCAGCACTCCTAATGGGAGCCGCCAGTGGGTATATCACGGGCCCGTTCGCGGCCAGTTTGTGGGGATGTCTCAGGCGGTTTGCCTGTTTCGGTGCCCAACATCGTCTGCGATTACAGCAGATTTGGAGGATGTCACTGTCGGGGAGCTGGTTTCAGCACTCCTAAAAAGGGGAGCCGCCGCCAGGGGGTATACCGCGGGCCCGTCCGCGGCCACTGTGTGGGGATGTCTCAGGCGGTTTGCTTGTTTTCATGCCCAACATCTTTGGCTTTCAGAGCAGATTTTGAGGATGTCTCAGGCGCGGCGGTGGTATCAGCATCCCTAAGGAGAGCCGCCAGGGGGTAGGACACGGGCCCGTTCGCTATCATAGTCAAGCGCCCATGAACAGACGCTCACAATGGCATGCCATAGAACATGAGATGCGCATCTGGGGAGCTCCACGCAGTGAGTAGTTTTTACTTTTGTCCAAAATCATCCTGTAGGGGGACAAGCCCGACGTGAGTCCTGGCCAGTGGCCCTCGCCTCCCTCCCCTCCGGCAGCAGGCCCCGGCCCCCGCGCCGCAGGAAGGCCCCGCGGCTCCCGCCGCCGCCGGCGCAGCGGCGCCCGCGCCCGCGGAGCCGGGCCGCGGCCGGGGCGCGGGCGGCGGCGGCGCCGCGGAGGTCGGGCCGAACGAAAGCGGGGGATTGGGAAAGGGGGGGTACGAAGTCTGCTGCGTGCAGCTGGTTCCTATAGGGGAACAGAGAGTGGCATAACCATGACAACTCGGAGGTCCGCGCGGATTTATCGGATCGGCGCTGGGGCCCCCCAGCGGCGCCTCCGGCGCCGCCCCGCCCCTGGCGCGCTCCGCGCGCCAGGGAGGGGAGTCCAGCGCGGATCCGAGAAATCCGCGCGGACCTCCGAGTTTTCATGTGTTTATGCCACTCTTTGTTCCCCTGCATTGGGAAAGGAGGGGGGGGTAATTACGAAGTCTGCCGCGTGCAGCTGGTTTCGGCCCCACCGAGGGGCCCATTCCTCGATACATGTAGCCGCCTCCGGCGCCGGGAGGCGCCGGGAAAGTCAGCATATATCGTGAGCTGATTCGCACCCGCCCCCCTTTGCTATCCCCCCCTTTCGCCCGGCCCGAGGAGGGCGAGGGCAGGATCTCGGTGGTGCTGCCCTGCCTGAACGAGCGGGGCGGCGCGCACGGGCGCAGGGGGGGGCGAGCGGTGGCATCTCTGGTCGAGCATCTGGTGCAGATCAGGAGGGAACAAAACACACAGACACAATTAGTCGTCGATATCCAGAAAATATGGGAACATATGGGAAGTGGGGGGGAAGACAAAAACCCAGAAATATGGGAAACTATTTGGAATATTTTTATTTGTGTGTATTTACTTGTGTGTCCCAGGGCCCCTTCAGCAGAGGCCTCCTCCCGAGCAGCTGGGTCAGCTTTTTTGCGTGCTTGCCGACTCGCCGGGAGGCGGGCCCAGTTTCTGCAGCGCGTTCGCCCCCCCAGCGTTGGCGCGAAAGCTCGGCCCAGGCATGCCTCGAGAAGCTTCCGGAAAGCTGGCCCAGGTTTCTGGAGAGACGCTGCTCTTGATCATAGTTCCAGTTGTAAGCATACAGTCGGGGCCATGAAGAAGGAACCCTTTTCGTTGGGGAGGGGCTCCGCGTTCCTTAAGTGTTTCGCAGCTTGCCTCAGGGTTTCCGAATGTTTTCGATCGGAAATCGAAGGTTAACTTCTGGAACAAAAAGGGGCCTCGTTCCTTGTTTAGGGTTCCTTACGTCAACGCCCCGACTGTAAGGACTCTGGGGTGCGCGCGGATTCTTCGGATCGGCGCTGGAGCCCCCTGGCGGCGCCTCCAGCGCCGCCCCCGCTGCGCTCCACGCGCCTGGGAGGGGGGGCCCAGAACCGATCCACGAAATCCACGCGGACCGTCGACAGTTCGCATTCAAGTTCTTTGCTGCTCCTCGACTGGTTGGCCAGGGAAGGTGAAACCAGGTGCTCAGAGGGCTGGGGCTCAGAGGCGGCAAGGATTCCGATGCCGCTGCTCGTCCTAGAGGTTCCTCGTCGCCACGGCTGGCATTCTCTCCGACGTTTCTGGCCAGAACGTATCCAGGGAGAGGTCCGGGGAGTGGCGGCATCGGTACCTTTCCGTCCCCCAGGGGCGAAGGGGGTGGCCTCCTGAGAGGGCGGGCCCTGAGAGCTGGGCGCTACGTTTGTGTCCCCTCGGGCGCTTTTGCCCTGTCTCGGGTCCTGGGACTCTGTGGCGGGTCGATCCCGCTCGGCAAGAGCCGCAGAAAGGTGGGGTCCAGGGCTCGGGTCGAGATGTGCAACGATATTGTGGTGTGTTTTTGTCAGGTCGGATCTCCGGGGCTGCCTTCGGAGAGAGGGCGGGGGGGGCGCGGCTTCTCAGGAAGCCCGTGGGCCTTTGAGAGGCCTTCTCGGAAGCCTCCGTGTCCTTCTTTGGATCCACCCCTGGCCCTCCTCACGAGGCCGCCCCCCATCGCTCCACGCCTTTGTGCGCGCCGCCAAGCGAGAGTTTCAACATGGTTAAGACCGTGGAGAGCTTCTGCGCCCGAACGCCCCGTGCGGTGTTGGAGGAGATCGTGGTAGTAGACGATGGGTCCTGGCCGCCTCTTGCCGAGATCATGACCCCAGCAATTCCTGAGAATTGCCGCGTCCGCATCGTGAGGCACGAGAAACCGATGGGGCTCATGATCGCCAAACAGACTGGAGGCGACACGGCCAAGGGGCAGTTTATCGGATTCTACGACTGCCACGTCGCGCCCAGGATCGATTGGGAGAAAGAGACGATTAAGTTGCTGACAGAGCGCCCACAGCGACTGGTCATTCCAATGATTGGCGATCTCAACGTCACCACTTGGGACGAGAAGCTCGGGGGACAGCTGCTTAGCAAGTGCTACATGGGCTGGAACGTAGAGTTTTGGTGGTACGAGGACGGCTCTGATTTTGTACCTGCGATCAGCGGCGGCTTGGTGGCGACTACCCGCGAGTGGTGGCAGGCGTCGGGGGGGTTCGATAGCGACATGCGCGGATGGGGCGGCGAAAACCTCGACCAGTCGCTGCGGGCTTGGCTCTGTGGAGCGGACATCGTGCGCGCGAAGTCCAGCGTGATATCCCACATGTGGAGAATCAACACGGACAGCCGCACGGTGGCGAAGTTCAAGCTTCCGCATTTCCACGTGGACAACGTCGGGCGAGTCGCGGCGGCGTGGTTTGACGAGTTCAAGCCGAAGTACAAGAATGGCCTGCTAAGGCGCGAGCACATGGACGTCTCTGGTATTGAGAAGGTGAAGAGTAGATTGCATTGCAAGCCGTTCGCCACCTTCCTGCACAGGTTCCGGGGAGTGTACTTCGACGGAGGCCTCCTACCCGACAGGGTGTTCAGAATACGCTCCAAGAGCTCTGGCTTGTGCCTTAAGAGAATGATGAAGTCCTACGTCATGAAGGAATGCGATCAAGGCACCTGGTTTCACCTGGCCAACCAGTCGAGGAGCAACAACTAACATGAATACAAACTGTCGACGGTCCGCGCGGATTTCGTGGATCAGTTCTGGACCCCCCCTCCCTGGCGCGAGGAGCCGGCCAGAGGCGGCGCTGGAGGCGCCGCCAGGGGGCTCCAGTGCCGATCCGAGAGCTCCGCGTGGACCTCCGAAAGTTTCTGTTTCTGTAACTTGCTTGTTCCCCGAACCAGGCCCCTGAGCAGTGGCCAGATCCCGCAGGCCTTGCATCCTTGCAGGCGATCTCGGAGCAGGAGGAGCGCAGGAGCCCCGCAACGGGGAGCCAGGTGACCTGTGGCGGCCACCACGCGCCCACCTGCGCGCAGTGCCCTCAGGGCAACGGCGCCGGCTGGTGCCACGCAGACTGCTCCTGGCTGCTGGGACGCTGCCTGCCCAGGGAGGCGGTGGCAAAGGTGGGGGGGACCAAACTTTACACCAACAGAAATTTTCGGAGGTCCGCGCGGATTTCTCGGATCGGCGCCAAGGCCCCCTGGTGGCACTTCCGGCGCCGCCCTTGGTGCCGCTTTTAATTATGTCACGTCATTACCCAGCTACCCCTGGCAATTCCGCCACCGTGCCAGTGAAGCATCCTGTGTGGCAACTACTCCCAGGGAATCGCCGTGGCCGCCCAGGGACCTCCAGGAATAGGGTTGGTACACGGAAGTGGGCGCGACGTGACGGGTGGGTGGCCCCAACCCTACCAGACAGCACTTGGCATTCTTCCACGCCTCAACGTGCCATGAGGCACGGGGGCGGATTTGTTCTTCGAAAAGGTGCAATTCCAGCCAGCCAAGAAGTGCTGCTCTGGCGTCCGCGAGTGGAACACCATCGAGTGCTGGGACAAGCTGGAAGCCTCCGGGCCGTGGCCGTCCTACTGCGACATGATGGGAACCTGGACGCTTCAGCACTACCTGTTCGACGAGAGCGGCCTGATCTGGCACGACTCCGGGCAGTGCGTCTCGGAGGATGCGCAGGCCAGGAAGGCCTCTGCCGCGGATTGCGGCTCGGCGGTGCGGTGGGAGCAGGTGGACTCCTTCGAGCCTGAGGAGACCAAGTGGTACCGCGAGGCGGTGCAGAGGCTGGGTCTCTCCGAGGACTCCCCGTCGAAGTGAGCGGCGCTGGGCGGAGCTTCGCGAGCACCCGCAGGGCACTTCAACGGCGCGCAGGCAGGGGTGGGGCAAGGCCCAGACCCCTCGCGCCGTGAGAAAATCACGGCCGAAGGGCTTTCGCAGATCTCGTCCTCCGGGGACTCTCACGGGGCCTCGGGCCCTTCAAGAGAAGGCCCAGGATGACAGCCCGTTCCCCAGGAAGGGGTCCGGACCTATTGGGGCCCACGTCTGGACAAGAAAAGGCACGACGTCGGAGGTCGGGGGGGGTCGTCTGAGAAGGCGGAGGGCTCCTGAGCGACTACACGTAAGAGTGACCCTTCGCCTGAGTGACCTTTGGTGCGGGTTCAGCAGGGTCTCCCTGATCGCTGAGCGCGATGCGATGGTGGCTGCTTGCGCTCTTGGATTTGGCCACCCTGCGCCCCCGCAATCCGCGCACTAAGGCCACTCTTGCCTAGGGTTACTGAATGCCGTTACTGAATCCGGCACTAAGGATACTTTTGCGTGTAGCCGATCTGAGATGCCCTTGTGGGTGAAGCCTCCGAGCCATACTCAGAAGCCACCCCTTGGTCTCCTCGAAAGGCCCCCCCCCCCCCCCGCACTTGCCCAGCCCCGTGTCTTCGCGCCGCCACGCACAGGGTCTCCCGCGCGCCCTCCTGCTCCTCAGGCGCCCTGCGTGGCACGCAGACGCGTGCCGTTGGCGGGGGCACCGTGCCGGTGCTCGCCTCGGAGCGTCAGGTCCTGGCGCCTTGGTGGGAGCAAGGAAGGCGCCCGCGGGAAGAGGGCAGGTCTGCACGAACGAGATAGGCACGGAAAGAATGGGTACGATGCCCAACAGCGGATCTTGTTCATTGTGAACAGGACTCGCTGTCCACGCCGCCGCGGCCTGTGTCCATTCGAGACAGAAAGCCGCCTGCCCAACAGCGGCCGCTGTTGGTTTGGGACAACATTTGCTGTTGGGCATTGTACCGATTCTTTCCGTAGCCATTGCGGACGTCCAAAGCAGGCTCCGCTTCGTTTCGTCTTCCTCACCTCCCCACTCATCCCCGGAGGTCGATGAAAGAAAAAGTGCATGACCATGAACTTTGGGAGGTCCGCACGGGTTTCTCGGATCGGCGCTGGAGCCCCCTGGCACGCTCCGTGTGCCAGGGAGGCGTGTTCCAGCGCCGCTGATCCAAGGTGTTTGCGCGGACCGTGGAAAGTTGATGTCTATGCCGTTAGTTATTCCTCTATGTAGGGGAGGGGGCAGATCCTGATTGGTCCTGTCCCAAAGCTGCTGGCACTCTTCTGACCTCCCGTCCAACCCCACGGTGGTGGCGGGGGGCGAGGGTGCGAGCCTCCCCCACTTGGAAGATCCTGAGGGCTCTTTGCGCGCTGGCAATCTACGACGAAGACGACGAGCAAGATGACGAAAATGACGCGATCGACGCCGACGACGCTGACGACGAAGCTAAAACTTACGATGATGACCTTGTAAACCATCAAGGATCGAGGTTCACAATGAGTGTCCCGCCCGCCCGCCCGCTCTAATATCACACCCGTCGTAGTCGTAGTCGTTTTCGTGTGCCCTTCAGTTGTTTATTTCCTTCGTAAGGCATGTCGCATCAACACGCGAGGTTTTCTTAGTGTTCTGCTCGCTCGCTGTCATGCCCCGCCCGTTGCTATCGTAGAGGTCCTCGTCGTTGTGCTAGGTGTTTCTGTGGCGTCTTCTGCAATACCCTCGACCTGTCAACCAGCAAATCGTAATTGATATCAATGCCCTGCCCACCCGCCTTCATGTCACACCCGTCGTTATTACTACCGTAGTGCTAGATGCTTTTGTATGGTGTCCTCCCCGACTTGCAGCATCAACGCGTCAGGCTTTCATATAATGTCTTGCCCACTGGCCTTTGTATCCCGCCCGCTGTTGTCGTAGTCGTCGTCGCTTCCCTTGGTTTTCCTGCTGTGTCTTCTCGCGCAACCACGCCCCGTCAGCAAGCCAAGCGTACCTTGAGCGTCCCGCCCGCCCGCCCATTTTGAAATCAGATCCATGGTCATCGCTATGGGTGTCTTGTGTTTTTGCCTACGCTCCCCACGCCTCGCCATATCACTGCGCGAGGTTTCCACGTCCTGTCCCGCCCGCACGCTTTAATGTCCCAACCGTCGTAGTCGCCCTCTTCTCGAAACATCGCTTGCACTTAGGGCCCTTACTCCTGGTTTAAGGAACGGCCCAGATCCCGGTCTTGCCGCTATGGTGTCGCCGTCGCTGCCACGTCGCCGCCCGTTGTCTGGGCCTAAGGGTCGGTCTGGCGGCTATGTTGCCGTTGCTGCCTTGACGCTGGTTTGGCGGCTATGTTGTCGCCGGCTATGTTGTCGCCGTCGCCGCCCCATCACCGCCCGTCGTCTGGGCCCGACCGCCAGTCTGGCAGCTACGTTGTCGCCGTCGCCGCCCCGTCGCCGCCGCCTAAGTTGCACCGCGTATATTGCACCACGTCGATTGGACCATATGGATCGCACAACATAGATTATCCGCTCTGAAAAAAGAGAATAGATTCTACCCCCCCCGGATTATGTGTACCCCTTTTCGGTTTGCCATTTGCATGCGTTTCTGCCTTTATCGCCCATCCGTAATATGAACTCATACCATCCCCAGCTCAACCGGAATCGAACTCCCCCCCGTCATCTTTTGCAGAAAATGGTATGTGCGCGCGCTCGCTCATGAACCATCAGAAATTTTCAATAATCCCTTCTGTCAACAACGGGACGAAGTGCACACGCGCGCGGCGTCGCGCGCGCATGCCGAAACCCTTCAAAAACCTTCGGTTCCGTCAGGATTTCAAAATCGAATGTCCAAAATCGAATGTTCAAAAACTTTCGGTTTCGCAGTACGGATTTTCAAAACAATTTGTGCGCGTCCATGCGAATTCTTAAGAAAGTCAAGGGTTGTTCAACATGTTCGTAACATGCTACAGCAGGGGCTTCGCGCGCGCGCATGTCGGAATCGTTCGAGAGGCCCTTGCGCGCGCGCTGGGGTGGCACGATCCGTGTCAAAGAATACTATGTGGGCCACTCTCGCGCGTCTGTCGCGCGCGCATTTCGAATTCCTTCCAAAGCATGCATCACCGACGCGAAGACGCCGTCATCGCCGTCGGCGTGATCAGCTTCGGCGCCGTCAGTGGCTGCCCCGCCGTCGCTGTCAGCATCGCCACCAGCATCGCTACTATCATCATCGTGTCTACTGTTGTCGACGTTGCCATGATACCACGCCCGTCCAAGTCGCCGACTCGCACCGAAGTCCCCTTTGAGAAATGCCCAGCGGTCACCGCTACCACGGCCGCGTCAGCCGCGCCAAACTGGCTGACCGCTTCGCGCGCATGCATGCGTGGGCTAACGCGGCCGCAGAGATGCACCAGCCAACGCCAAGCACTCATCGCAATCGCCGCCGCATGGGATTTGCAAACCAGGTTGTGGGCGGGTGGGTGGGATGGTTGCGCGGGCAGTGGGGGTGCCAATTCACATCGAACAACAATTAATAACACACCACATATATTGCAGTTTGCATCACGTAGATATTCCTTTTCAAAAACAGAATAGACTCTACCCCCCCCCACCGGCGTTATCCGCCCCCCTTCCGGGCATGTAAATCATAAATGATTCTGACCACATGTCCATCCGAAATATGAATTGACACTATCCCCGAGGGGCCGGGATCGGCCCCAAGTTCCTTTGTAAAAAACGATCCGCGAGGACATATTTTGCTCGAACATAGAACTTTTGTTCACGAGTCCCTTGCAACAAATGAGGCGAAGTGCGCACGCGCGCGTCGTCGCGCGCGCATGTCGGAATCATTCAAAAACCTTCGGTGCCGGAAGGATTTCGCAATCGAATGCCCAAAAAACGTACAAACAACACAGGGTTTCGCAACACGGATGTCCCAAAAAAGCTTACGCGCCAGCTCTTGCGAAATCTTAAGGGAACCGTAGGCCTTCAATGTTTTCAAAACGTGCTACCAAACGGGCTTCGCGCGCGCGCATGTCGAAATCTGTCGAACGCCCTTGCGCGTGTGCCGTCGCGAAAATCTTCTGCAACAGATGCGACGAAGTGCAGACGCGCGCGTCGTTGCGCGCGTATGCCGACATCCTTCAAAACCCATCGGTTTCGGAAGGATTTCAAAATCGTGTGCCCAAGAAACTTACAAAACACACAAGGTTTCGCAACACTGATTTTCAACAAAAGCGTGCGCACACGCTCTTGCGTCGTCGTCGTCGTCGCCGTCGCCGTCCTCCCTCCTCCCGCGTCGTCGTCGTCGTCGTCGCCTACGTCGTCCTCTGTTTTTCCCCGTGTTCGTCGTCGTCCTCTTTGGCGTCGTGGTCGTTTCCGTCGTCGTTGTCGCCGTGGTCGTCCTTGCTCCTCCTCCCTCGTCGTCGTCCTCGTCCGTCGTCGGCGTCTCGTCGTCGTCCCTCCTATTTCGTCGTCGTCGTCGTAGTCGTCGTCTTCCCTCCTCCCTCGTCGTTGTCGTCGTCGGCGTCGTCGTCCTTCCTCCTTCTTCGTCGTTCGCGTCGTCGCCGTCCTCCCTCCTCCCTCGTCGTTGTCGTTGTCGTCGTTGTCGCCGTCGTCGTCCTCCCTCCTCCCTCTTCGTCGTCTTCGTTGGCGACGTCGTCGTCGACTTCGTCGTCGGCGTCGGCGTCGTCGTCGTCTTCGTCGTCGTCGACGTCGGCGTCGTCGTCGTCGTCGGAGTCGTCGGAGACGTCGTCGGTGTCAGTCGTCGTGCAGTCGTCGTCGGCGTCGGTGTCGTTGCCAAGTGCCATTTTGTACATACCGTCACGGTCTTAAGAGGTTTTGCAAACCAAGTTGCGGGTGGGTGGGTGGGATGTTTGCAAGAGCATGGGATGTGTCAAATCATTTGTAAAAATCAATTGCACCATATAGTTTGTACAACAAAGAGCACCGTCTACGCTGCATGGCATGGATTGCCTCGAATAGATTGCTGGAATGCATCACGTATATTGCACAACATCAGTTGCTGCCCATACATTGCGTACCCTTGCCCTAAATAGCGTTTGCTCTCAGAGGGGTTGAATTTCCGTTCTGAGGAACGGGGCTTGTGCTCCATTCTGGCGGTTATGTTGCCGCCATCGCCGCCCTGTTCCCGCCTCGTCGCCGCGCGTCGTGTAGGCCTTGGTGCTGGGCTGGCGGCTAGGTTGCCGCCGTCGCCGTCCCGTTTTCGGGTCGTCGCCGCCAGTCGTCTGGGCCTTCGTGCCTGTCTGGCGGCTAAATGCCGCCTTCGCCTCCCCGTCTTCGCATCGTCGCCGCTCGTCGTCTGGCCGGTGTTTCAAACTGGCGGCTTTGTTGACGCCGTCGTTTTTCATCGCCGTTTCGTCACCACAAAGATTGCGTTGCATGGGTTGCACAACATAGATTGCAAAACATCGATTGCACCAGATATATTGCATCACGCTCATGCGCATTACATGTTGCCCCACATAGAGGGCACAACATATCGAAGACGCCCACGGCGAATCACAGCCGCCCTTTGCCTTTTGGAACCGGCCGCGTGGCCGAGCGTTGTGGCAAGAGCTCTAAACTCTACCGAATTAGCTGACCATGTGCTCCCCCAGCCGTTGTGGAAACACCATGTGTTCCCCCAGCCGTTGTGGAAACCCTTCGGGTAACACTTGGGGAAGGATGGCGAGGATCAGGAGGAGGAGGGGTGGAGGAGGAGGAGCAGGAGGAGGAGGAGGAGGAGTTGTAGGAGGAGGAGGAGGAGGAGGAGGAGGAGGAGGAGGAGGAGGGAGGAGGAGGAGGAGGAGGAGGAGGAGGAGGAGGGGGGAGGAGGAGGAGGAGGAGGAGGAGGAGGAGGAGGAGGAGAGGAGGAGGAGGAGGAGGAGGATGAGGAAGGGGAGGAGGAGGAATGGGCATCTTGGGAGCCCCTGGGGGTATTCTTGGGGCCTCCTGGGAGCTTCCTGGGAGCCTCTCGGGAGCATCTTGGGGGCCTCCTTGGGCCTCCTGGGGGCCTCCTGGGGGCTTCTCGGGAGCTTCTTTGCCCGTTGTAGGGCGTTCCTGGCCCGTCTGACGCCGTCGGACGCCGTCTTGGGGGCCTTGCCTGTGGCCCCACATAGAACGTAGATCGAAGACGCCTACGGCAAATCATCTCCGCCCCCTGCCGTCTAGAATCGCCCATGTGGCCGAGCGTTGTGGCAGGAGCTCCGCCAAGCTATCGGATCATGTGTTCCCCCAAACCGTTGTGGAAACCCTTCGGAGAACATATGGAGGGGAAGGTCAGGAGGAGGTGGAGGAGGTGGAGGAGGAGAAGGAGGAGGAGGATGAGGTTGAGGAGATGGAGGAGGAGGCGGAGGAGGAGGAGAAGGAGAAGGAGGAGGAGGAGGAGGAGGAGCAGGAGGCGGAGGAGTGGGCAACGTGGGAGCCTCTGGTGAAACTCTTGGGGCCTCCTGAGAGCGCCCCGTGGATTGGGCACCGGACTTGAGGACACGCCCACTCCGCGCCCGGAGGCACGGTGGCAGATGATAGAACGTGCCTTCTCGGAACGAGACGGTGATGAGAGTTGGTTAGGCCATGCTAGGTAAGACATATCTGAAAAACTAAGACGCGAGGGACAACGGGCTCGCCGCCGCAAAAGTGTTGTTGCTCTGCGGATTGCCCAAACAATAGGCGTTTCGCATGAGACATCCTCCAACGACTCGGATGTGAACGAGTTGTTTGCATACGTCTTCCGTTAAACATGAGGCTTTTTTTGAGACATATTCGGAGCATCGAGATGTTCCAATGGGTAGCAAAATAGTTCGAAGGTTCGGAAATGGCCGATTCGCCTGAGGCATCCTCGTAAACGAGCAAAGCTTACATCTGATGCCACGCCGCTCAACTGCAAGCCGACCGACCATCCCGCCCGCCTGAAAGTGCTGCTGGCACACCCGCTTGAATGTCTCACCCGCCCGCGTGTTGGTGTTCTGCCTTCGTCTTGGTATCGCCCAGACGTGAGCACTGTTTGGCGAGACCAGCGCCGGAAAATTGTGAACATGTGAGACAATTTTGCATCATCCAGGGGAAACACACGAAACCAAACAATGCACTGAAAATGGACATCCTGGCGATGGCAAGTCGTCATTCGTCGTCGTCGTGTTCGTCGTCGTTGTCATCGTGCTTGTCATGCTCGTAGTCGTTCGTCGTCGTCGTGCTCGTCGTTCTCGTCGTCGTGGCCGTCGTCGTGCTCTTGGTTGTCGTGCTCGTCGGCGTCGTGCTCGTCGTCGTCGTCGTCGTCGTGCTCGTTGTCGTCCGTCGTCGTGGTCGTCGTGGTCGTCGTCGATGCTGCCGTCGCCGCTGGCGTTGTCAGCGCCGCCTGTTCGCCACCCGTGCGCGCGCGCCGCGGCGAGGCCGTTGGCCTGTGCGCCACCTCGGGGCTGCTCGCCCCCGACTCGGAGGCGCGGGCGCGAGCGGCGCCGCGCCGCCGCCGCCGCCGCCACGAGACCTTGGCGCTTGGCGCTGCATGCGCTGTCACAACGGACGTGTCTGCCCGTCTTCGGGCCCCCGGCACCCTAGCAGATCGATCCGGCCAGGGAAATGGCGCCGCACACAGGTCAGGTCCTGGGTTCTGGTCCTGCTTTTTCGCGGTGCTGCATTTTTTTTTCGCAGCGTCTCGGGGCCATCGCCCAGCGTTGCTGCCGTCGCCACCGACGTTGCCGCCGCCGTCGGCTCTGCCGTCTTCGTCGGCGGGCGTGTTTTGGCGGCTCCCTGCCGCCGGGGCCCCCGGCCTGGAGGCTCATGGGAGGCCCAGAGGCCGTGCCCTGCTCCCCCGCCCTTTGTCCTGCTTCTTGTCTAGTGTTTTTCGTTTCCACCACTGTTCTTCCGCCCGTTCCCCCCGCTTCTCCTCCCCTGGGCGGTTCAGAGGGCCTGATCAGATCCCTTTTTGAGGGCCCCAAGGCCCGAAAACGGGCCTCATATATTCAGGAAAAGTACCTGGACTGCCACAAAAACGTCGTCTGAGATTTGGAGCTCCGGCTCTTCCTCCTCCTCCTCCTCCTCTTCCTCCTCCTCAGTCCTCCTCCTCCCCCTCCACTTTCTCCTCCCCCTCCTTCCCTCCTCTTTTTCCTTCCCCTCCTCCCTCCTAGAGGTATGGCCGGAGCTAAAAAGGATGATTAACCGCACTTGGGTAAGACTTGTACTGACACGACACAGATGTAGTCAGCGTCGTGGTGTCATGGAATCCTTGATTCTGACCTTGTGGGAGGCTATCTGGGAGACCCCCAAAACAGCTACCAGGTGGACGGGCCCGCGAGGAGAGGATTGGGAAATGTAGGAGGAAGCTGCTGAAAAGGACCCTTCCACATCGATCCCATCGCGGATGACGTTGAGCATCAGCTGTGGTTGAAAGCTTCTCGGCACTTTGATGGCAAAGAGACGGATAATTGAGGGAGTTGATGCTGGCTTATTCCTCTTCTTATATTTTCATAAGCCCGGGCGGCCCCCCCCAAAACCAAACTCCCGGGATCTGGGGCTTTGAGACCCTCCAGACGGGCCTGGAAGCGGCCACCGGGCCTCGCAGGGCGTTTTGCCAAGCCTTCCCAGCACACCTGGGGCGATCAGGGGGGTCATCGGAGACGTCCCAGAGACCCCCAAGACAGCACAAGAGCGCTCCAAGAGTGACCGACGTGACCTCAAGATGGCCCAAGAGGCCTCCAGGACGGCCCCAAAGAGGCCTCCAAGAGCACTCCCAAGAAGGCCCCCCGAGGCAAACATCATTGATTTTCTGTTGGTTTTTGGTGAATTTGGGGGTTCTCCTCTTTTCGGCTTCCCGACGCTCCAAGACGGCGGTCTTCTGGGCGTCCGAAGCCGCCTGGGAGGCTCCCAAATCGCCCCACAACCATCCGAAAGGGCTTCCAGGCAGTCCAAGAGAGCCCCAAAACGGCACAACACGGGTCCAAGATGGCCCTCAGAGAGCCCCATGGCGGCCCAAGATGGCCCAACGACACCCTCCGAAGAATTCCAAGTCGTGATTCGGTCGTTCAGGGAGACCGCGGTTGGAGGCAGGGTGGCCCGAGGAAGCCCCCAGAGGCCCCCAGAATACGCCCAGGAGGCCTCCTGCGCACAAGCGCTTCGCGCCATGCACCTTGGTACTTGAAGTTTGGTATGCAGGCGGACTAGCAGGAAAGTCAAGCCGACAATTTAGCGATAACTCCTGGTTGCCTTTCCGGCATCGCCGCTATAATAATGTTATTCGTTATCCTTCCTCCATGCTTCTTTTTCTTTCTGTGCGCCATGCCCTGCGCATTCTCCCCATCCTCCTCAGCTCTTTTTTGAGGAGGCTCCTCCTTGGAGAGCCTCTAGGGGCCTCACAAAAGTTGTTTCAGGCTTTCTGAAGGCCTTCTGGAGGCCTCCTGGGCGTATTCTGGGGGCCTCTGGGGGCTTCCTCGGGCCACCCTGCCTCCAACCGCGGTCTCCCTGAACGACCGAATCACGATTTGGAATTCTTCGGAGGGTGTCTTTGGGCCATCTTGGGCCGCCATGGGGCTCTCTGAGGCCATCTTGGACCCGTGTTGTGCCGTTTTGGGGCTCTCTTGGACTGCCTGGAAGCCCTTTCGGATGGTTGTGGGGCGATTTGGGAGCCTCCCAGGCGGCTTCGGACGCCCAGAAGACCGCCGTCTTGGAGCGTCGGGAAGCCGAAAAGAGGAGAACCCCAAAATTCACCAAAAACAAATAGAAATCAATGATGTTTGCCTCGGGGGGCCTTCTTGGGAGTGCTCTTGGAGGCCTCTTTGGGGCCGTCCTGGAGGCCTCTTGGGCCATCTTGAGGTCACGTCGGTCACTCTTGGAGCGCTCTTGAGCTGTCTTGGGGGTCTCTGGGACGTCTCCGATGACCCCCCTGATCGCTCTAGGTGTCCTGGGAAGGCTTGGCGAAGCGCCATGTGAGGCCCGGTGGCCGCTTCGAGGCCCGTCTGGAGGGTCCCAAAGCCCCAGATCCCGGGAGTCCGGTTTTTTTTTGGGGGGGGGTAATGGGTTTCCCCCCCGCCCAGGCTTGTAAAAATATAGGAAGAGGAATAACACACGCATCGAGCGTCTATGGAAGGCCTCGCGCCTCCCTGAGGCCAGCGCGCTGCCCGCGGCAGCGACGGCAGGCGCCTGGACATCAGCAGGGAGAGATCCGACAGGTTCGGTGGGGAGGCGGGCTCTGGCAGGTGCGCCTGCGGGGCGAGGGCGGCCGACCTCGCCGGGATCGGGGGGAGCCTGCCCCAGCCAGGGCCTTGGCATCGCTCGGACGTGTGCATTGTTTGTCCTCGGCGAGAACCATCGAAGACCATCCTGGACCATCGAGCAACAAAAAGACACGCACGGAATCGACAAATGCACGGGAAATGGACGTCCGAGCGACGGCAAGGGGCCGGACCTACACGGTGTTTTCGCGATTTCGTGGGCCGTTCTCGTTTCGACCTCGCTCTACGGTAGAAAGGCGGAGTGAAGACAGAACGAGGACAAGCGAACACAAGACGAAAACGAAAAACACCGTTTGGGCTCAGCCCTGGCCCCGACCTTGCGCCCTGCCCCGCTTGCGAGAGCTCGGAGTCCCTTGTCGAACCGGCCTGAAATCTTGAAGCATCCCAGGGAATCCACGTGAGACCTCCTGGGGCCTCCTGGGATCTATGGGGGCCTCCTGGAATCGGCCCCCGCGGCGCCACTCATCCCTCCAGGCCCTGGGCCTGGGAACAACGCACCGACGCATCTGTTGTCGAAAAGTCCGTCCTGGTGCATTTTTGGGCGGCAGGGGTGGGCATGGGGGTCGTAAGGAGGGCCGTGCTCCTGGCTCGGAGCGGCCGGCCGCGCAGCGAGCTCGGAGAGCGCCGCCCCCTCCCTGCTCCGCTGGGCGCGCGGAGGAGCGCTGCGGGGAGCGGGGCCCGCTGGCCCGTCGAGGCGCAGCAGGGCCAGGCCCTGGAGGTGCGCCACGACTGGGGGGCCACCTGCGAACCCTGCCGCGCTACCCCCCACGATCTCTGTGGGGGGGGAGGGTCACTTCGGCCGGGAGCTCCCGAGCGAAGTGAGGCCCCCCCACCCTCCCCCTCAGAAGTCGTGGGGGGTGGGGGTAGGGTTTGCATGGGGCCCCCCCAGTCGTGGCAGCGGAGGCGCGGAGCCGGGCCAACAGCAGAGCCGAGGTCGTTCCTGTCATGCTCCCTGCTCCACTCTTGTAGACGGCCTCGCTTCTGGAGCGACTCATGGGAGGGACAGGGCTCGGCACAGGAGGCAACCCAGCTGGAGTGCCATGGGAGGCCTGCTGGCCACATCCCTTTTTCCCTCTTCGTGTGCAGGGCGCGCAAGATCTAGGCGCCTTTCTGCCTGCTGGCTGAATACCAGCTGATGCAAGATCAAGGGGAGGGATATGAGCTCGGGGGTTGGGGGGGAGGACCGGTTTCTCACAAGACCTTGGCGCCCGTTCTGTCCGCTGGCTGAATACCAGTTGCTGCCAGATAGTTGAGTGCCAGCCTGTTCTGACAGGTCGAGAGCCTCATCAACCTCGCAATCCACAATATCCTTCCTCCTCCTCGTCCTCCTCGTCCTCCTCGTCCGCCTCCTCCTCCTCCTCCTCCTCGTCCGCCGCCCTGCCTTCCCTCCCCTCTTGCTCGCGGGCCCTGGAGAGCCCCGCGCCTCGCGGAGAGCCGCTCGGAGTGGCACCCCTGGCGCGCAGGCCCCAGCGAAGAGCGTCTTCCTGATGGGCTACAGCGTCGGGTGCCTAAAAGGACCTCGGGGTTTGGATGCAACCGCTGGGAGGTGTTCGTCGGAAGGACTGGGGAGACTTAGGCCACATTGGGGGGCTGCTACGCCGGATTCGGCCACGGCTTCAGCGGGATTAAGCTGGACTGCGCCGGAGTAAGCGGGGTTAGGCGGAATTGAGCTGGATTTCGGACGGGGGAGAACTCAGATTTGGATTTCCCAGGAGTTGCATCCGAATCCGGGGGCGCCAACGACCCCGAAATCCACCGGCGCCGTCGAGGGCGCGAAGTGTTTCGCGCTTCGCGGTTGTGCTCCGATTCCTCTTCATCCTCTTCTTCTTCTTCTTCTTCTTCCTCTTCTTCTTCTTCTTCTTCTTCTCTGCGGGGCGGCGCGGGAGTGCGAAGTGATTCGTGTTTTTTCGCAGCGCGAAGCGCGAGTTTAGGCGGCCTTCAAGATCCTGGCGCTGCAAATTTCCCCGGACGGGCATTTTCGCCCAGATTCGGGCCCCAGGGCGCTCACAAATCGGCCCGGCGCAAAGAATGAAGCACAAATCCAGGGATCTGGCGATTTTCTGCGGTGTTGCAATGTGTTGGCAACGTCGGATCTCAGGAGGCCAGACTCAGACCCCCTCGCGGCGCGAAAACCCACGCCCGGGAGGCTTTCGGCAAGTTTCGGCCTCCGGTGATCTTCACCAGGCCTCGGGACCGTCAGAACTCGGATCAGGGTGAAAGGTCGTCCCAGGGAATGGGTGTCCACGCCGTGAAGAACACACGACGTCTTCCTGATGGGCCACAGCGTCGGGTGCTGGAGGGGACCTCGGGGGACGCCAACGACCCTCCAGGTTTCCCAGGTGGGGTCTGAATAGATGGGTTTTGGGGGATCGCGCCGCATCGCCGATGCACTGGCGATGTGGCTCGATTCGGAGCCCGTTATTCTTCACGCCGACGTCTCCGATGCATCGCAGGTCGCCGAGGCATCGACGATGCATCGGCGATGCATCGGCCTGAAGGGTCCTCGGGGGACGTCACGACCCAGAACCCAGAAGAACCACTGCCCTTGCCTCCTATTCGCCTTCTTGGGCCTCCTGGGGCCTGGGGTGCCCTCGTCGCCAAGGCTTGATTCGCTTCGAAATTTTGGTCAGGCGGCCCTCCAGGAGAGGCTCATAGAGTAGCGGTATTGGTATGGCCTTGTTTGAGCCAGCTCTTCGCGTTTCGCAAGAAAAGACACGACCGACTTTCTGCTTCCAGGGGCCCGTGGGACTCGGGGCCGTCAAAGGTTGGCTCGGGAAAGCCTGCCGCGGAGAAGGCATCGAAGCCTCGGGGGCCCAGGGTACTACGAAGAAGTGCAACGTCGGGGGTCCGGAGACGGCGCGTTGGCCTCGCCGTCGGCCCGTGCGCAGGCAGAACGGCGGCGGGCCCGCCGGCGGAGGCAGGCAGATGCTCGGCGGGAGGCGGCGAAAGTGCAGGCGAGGCGGCATTCCCCAGGCCGAGCTCGCACTTACAGTCGGGGCCTTGACCTAAGGAGCCCTGAATAAGGAACGAGGCCCCTTTTTTCCATAAGTTAACCTTCGATTCCCCATCGAAAACCTTGGGAAAGCCTGGGGCGAGCTGTGAACCACTTAAGGAACGCGGAGCCCCTCCCCAACGAAAAGAGTTCCTTCTTCAAGACCCCTACTGTATGGCTCCTTGCTCTTCCTGGTTCACCCATTGGTGGCCGGGTTTTCGCCGCGTTGTGGCCTCGTGGGCGCCTCGTGGGCGCCTCGTGGGCCGAGGTTGCGCCACGTTGCCGCCCGTGCCGCCTCGTGGGCGCCTCATTGGGCGCCGCGTGTGTGGGGTGGAAATGCTCCCCAATTAGGGCTTCGCGCGCCCCGCCTGGCTCTTCACCGGAAGGGGCCCGCTCCCGACCCGCCGACCGAAAAGTGTGTGGGGTGGATTGCCCGAGGTTGCGCCGAGTGGCCGCCCGTGCCGCAGCGTGGCGCCTCGTGGGCGCTCCGTGCTCTGAGCTTGCACGGCCGACGTCGTTTTTGCCACCACACAGCGCAAACCGCATGGCACATAGCTTCCATCACATAGCTTACATCGCACTTGGCATCGCTCGGACGTGTGCATTTTTTTCTCGGCGAGAACCATCGAGGACCGTCCTGGACAATCGAGCAAAAAAAAACACGCACGACATCGACAAATTCACGGGACATGGACGTCCGAGCGACGGCAAGTCGCACAGCATAGCGTCCGCACCATAGCCCACGCCACATAGCGTAGACCCCGTCATGATGTTTACCCACGTGGTTCACACCACAGATGTTTCACGACATAGCGTTCGCCACATAGCATGCACCTCCATAGTTGCCACCACGTCGGTTCAACGACATAGCTGTTGCCGTATAGCTCGAACCACGGTACAGTTACGCACAGCTTGGGGCCCATGCTGGTTAAAAACATGTTTGGGGGGTCAGGATTCAAGGTCTCGGGAGTCTGCCATGTGTAGAGTCGGTTCTCTGCTTAGCGGGCAGAGGGTGGAATCGTTCCACGTTGTGTTCCAACAGATCGCCACTGCCCACAAGACCCATGGAGGCAATGGCGGCAGCGGGGTAAGCGAGGCCTTCTGTGCCGACGCAAGCTCCCGCCAGTCGGACGCTGTGCTCGATGGCACGATGGGCCCTTCCAGGCTCCAGTCAAGGCCGCCTCCCGTCGTACCCCAAGAGGCCAGGCACGGGAAGCTCGACCGCGGGGATCCTTTGCATGCGGTTTCTCCAAGGTTGCCAAACTATGTTCTAGGACGGCGTAGCGAATTCCGAAACCCCAAACACAAGCTTACACATGCCACGTAGGTTGTAGAAACACACCAGCCAGTCGAGGGCGCAAAACGAAAATACGATATACTTTTGCACAGCGATGACGCCAACTTGCATTACTCAACGAAAAGACAGTCTACAATGCAAAAACGGTGCTACACATCCGGATTCACCTGTCGGGTGCCAGTCGCGTGTTCGTCACCAGTCGTGCGCCGGTCGCGTGCTCATGTACAGGTCGGGCGCCAGTCGCGCGCGATTGCTCCCAGACCATGAGAGGGGCGCATCAGGCCAAGGAAGCACTTCACTACCTGTTCCCACGAGGAAGCGCCGCAATGGCGCAGCAGTGGAAGCCCACCGCAGCTCGTACGCATGCCGATGCGCAGCACTCCTTCCATGCTGCAAGTCGCAGGACGAGCAGGCGAACGGACTCTCGGGGTGCAAGCGCCCATATGGATTCCAATCCAAGCCCTGCACCCAAAGAAACGCTCCGCTACAGTGCGGCCAGCCTGGGCACGAGTTGGATAGGTGGCCGCATGTCTTCTCAGCGCTCGACCCCTCCGTGGCCATGTGCACTGGACTTCCGCCCGCGTGTTCCGAGCGCGGCCTCTGGTCGTTTCCCTTCTCTTCCGCTGGCGATGTGACATCACACGACAGAATAAAAAGAACGGGACACGGTCTCCTCCTCTTCCTCCTCCTCCTCCTCCTCCTCCTTCTCCTCCTCCCTTCTTCTCCTCCCTTCTCCTCCTCCTCCTCCCTTCTCCTCCTCCGCCTCCTCCTCATCGTTCTCCTCCACTCGTGGGCCCAGCCATTTGTGCTTCCGGTTTCCTGGTGCACCTGCGCCAGGCCGAGCCCACACGGTGTGGACGCCTTCCACGGTGTGGACGGGGGCATGCACCGCCAGATTTCCGACGGATTGTCGTCTGAAGTCCAGGGTCCCGGCGGCGTCGACCCCTCCACCGGGGGCAACTCTTCGACCCAGGTCCAATCTTTTGGGATGCAACTGCTGGGAGGTTAAATTCTGCATCGGCGCTGGTATTCTCCCGCTCGGGGACACATTTTCAGTTTTTTTCACGCCACGAGGGGGTTTGGGCATGGAGTACATGGCCGATCTCGGTCCCAGCTTGGGTGACAGCGGTGGTTGCGGGGATAGGGCGTCATAGGTGGATGCGAAGATGGGTTGTCTGTGGCCGAAAAAAATTGAAGTGGGTTACAAATTGCCCATGTCGCCTAAAAAGGATAGGGTAACTCTGGTAAGTGGACTCCGCCCCCTTCGCTAAGATCCCTGCCCGCCGTAAGCCTCTCAGGGCACTGACAGCCCACTCTTAAGCCAGTTTAGGCCACATGTAACGTGCCTTAGCATCCTTTTAGACCACCCTGTATTGTGTAGCTGTTCATGGGAGCCTCCGTGTTACTTTCTATTGTTCTTTCATACAGAATGCGTGCCTTGTCCGTTATGTCGCCGCTTCGTGTTCGTGCCACCGCGGCCGTTGTGTGTTGATGGCGCTAGGCCCATTGAGGACGTTGATTGTGTTCGAACAGGGGCTGATCGAACATACAACGAACGTAGAACGAAAGCAAACGTTTAAGCGCAGCGCGAAGGTTCCCGTGAACAGCTACACTACATGTCCCTTCGATGTCTGTTCATGGGAGCCTTGGGCAGCGACATTGAAATCAGCCTTCCCTGCGTTTGGATCGCGCTTGGCCCTTCATTCTTCTCATCCTGGCCCTTCTGTTCCTCCTCCCCCTCCTTATTATTTTCGTCTTTCCTGTGAAGGGGCAACTCTGGTCCAAGTCCAAATCCAACCGTGTTCCAGAACTGGTCCAAGTCCAGCCCAAATCGTTCATCGAAGGGGGCCACGCAGGCTCATCCACTGCAGCTTGGAGTTTCGGGTTCCCTTCCCCAGAAACCCGACGCGCACTGCGTATCCATAAAATCTGGTCCTTCGGGGCTCGATTTCCACCCACACCAGTGCGCCTCGTGTTTGTGGCGCCCTTTCCAAGATCGTCCAAGTCGCACTGGATTTGGATAGAAATACCTATACGACCGCCCTGCGGGCGATAAGGAGGTTGGGGGGGATTGAGATCAAATGCCCACCCTGACTGACCTCCAGCCTGTCACCTTGATCTCATCTCTCTTTTTCTCTCTGTCTCTCTCTCTCTCTCTCGCCCGGGACACCCGGGACACCGCTCGGTCCAATTGGGACACCTCCCGGCCACCGGCGGACGGGAAACGGACTTTCGCTCCTACTTCGGCCTAGCTACACAAGGATCACGCGCAGCTCCGCCTCTCCCGCACGCACGACACGAAGACGAAAACGAAGCCGATTTCCCGGTGGGGGGTCTCCGTTTGACTGCGATCTCACCTGTAACCTCCGATCGCCCGCACCCTTAGCCCCCCCCGCGGTCATCCAAGTGGGCATGGATCGGGTATGGCCAGGACCCCAGGTAAGGAGACCCGGTTAGTGGTAACGCCCCGGAGCCCCTAAATGGACCAGAATCACTAGACCAGGTTTGCCATAGCTGGTGTTTTTTTTCGGGTGAAGGCAGTTCCGGTTAGTGGAAATGGGGCGGGGGGGCGCCCCTGGTACAGATCTCTAAACCAGGTTCCACTAAACCCAGCTCTGCCAACGCCCGCATGGAGTCCATGGTCGATCTCGGGCCCAGGGCGGGGACCTGGCCGGGAGCGGTGCTCCACGCGAGCGGTCGGCGCCCTCGGCAGGAGTGCTCGAGAAGCTGCTGGGCGCGGTGGGCGTGCCGAAGGCGCAGGTCGTCGGCCTCGCGAAGGAGATCCTTCTCCTCCTCCTCCTCCTCCTCCTCCTCCTCCTCCACCTCCTCCTCCTCCTCCTCCTCCTCCTCCTCCTCTCAGCGGGTTCGGTGGACCCGTACAGTCAAGGCTGGTGATAAGGATGGGGGAATTTCCCAAGGGTGTCCTTGTGCATCCTGGCCTCTTCGGCCGTCTTCGGTCCATCCTGAAGCACTTTCGGTGGCAAGCCCCGCTCGAGAAGCATCGGCATGGGCGTCCAAGGGCCCCCTGCATCCTCACCGCGCATCCTCGCTAATTATGGGTTTTGACTGTAACGTCCGTTGCTGGGGATCGCCCCCTTTCTCCCCCCCCCTCCCCTCCCCGTAACGACGGTACCGAATGGACGCGGGGGGGGGGCTCCCCCGCAGGCACGGCGCGATGTTCGCAGGCATGCTGTGGCGCTGACAGGCATGCTTTGGTGCTTGCGAGGATGCTACGAGCATGTTGTTGCGGTTGCATGCCTCTCCTCGCATCTGACATTCGCAAAACATGCAACATTGCAACAAATCATCACCTGAGCCCCGTACCCCAGCTTTCTGTGTCGTTTTCCGAGCTGGATCGATCTGTGAGGGTCCCGAGGCTCGAAACCGAGCGAGCACGTCGGTTGTGGAGAACATGTAACGCCAGGATCTCATAGCCCCCCCCCGTAAAGGACGCTACGGGTCAGGGGCAACGATAGGGGAGTATTGGCATAATTAGAGGGGGGACGCATCGACCCCCAGTCGCCCATTGAACGACGATAAGAGGTCCGATCGCTCCAACCTGCCCAGGTAGGTGCGGATCCGCACTATCACCGATCTATCGGCGATAGTGCGCCTCCGACAGATCGATCTATCGATCGATCTGTCGGAGGCCTATCGCTGATCTGTCGGCGATCTATCGCCGATTCCAGGTCGATGTGTCCCACTCTATGCCCTTGGCATCGCTCGAGACCATCGAGGACCATCCTGGACCATCGAGCAAAAAAAACAACACACACGAAATTGAAAAATGTACGGGAAATGGACGTCCGAGCGACGGCAAAATGCCAGTCCCCCCTTATCGTTGCTCCTCAACGGGGGGGGGGGATCAAGCAGCAATCTCGAGGACGTGCTCAGCCTCGCGGCGGCGCACGGGCTCGACACGCAGGGGCACCCCGGCGGCCACAAGTGCAAGTCTGGACGGTCTGTGGACGTGGAGAGACGGGCGCTGCGTCATGGAGGGGCGAGATGCGGGGAGAAGTGAGAAGGGGCGGTAAAACAGGGCTAGGATCGGGATAAATCGCTCCAGAGCGTTCCGGAGCGCTCTCAGAGCGTTCCGGAACGCTCTGGAGCGGCCGCGGCGCCCAATACATCCTCCAAACCCGCCGATTCTCAGAGATTTCGAGTTATCCCGATCCGATTTTGTCCCGATCTTCGCGTCGTTTTAGGCGGGCCTGGTTTCTAAGCCTTCCCCGAAGAGACAAACACGCCTCTCAGAAGGCCTGTTGCTTCTCATGTGCCCCACTCGCTCGCCGCCGAGGAATGGGGGGGCAAGAATCGGGGGGAGTTAGGCTGCACCTTTCGTGCACCTTCGGGGCCCGAAGGGGGCCCCGGGGGGGCCAAAATGTTGTGACGAGAGGTGCAGGTTTCTGCACCCCCCCCTTTTATCGTCCCCCCTCCAGGCGCAACGCTCAAGAGAAGCTAGAGGGCGATGTGAGACAGCACGACAGTAGTTGGCATTAGGGGGGGCTCTTCGCCACGGCTGGACGCATTGAAAACGAGTGCGTTTGGACTCCCGGAGGGGTACAGTCGGACCGATGTGTAAGATCGAGGTCAGTTCGGGGCGGGTACCCTAATGTTCTTCGTGTTTGTCGGATGTGTGCATCCTGGGGAGGGTACCTTTGGATGTTCTGTGTGTGTGTGTGTTGGCCGGCGGAGGGCTTCAAGTTCTTGAAGCATGCTCCTCTGTCTTGGGTCCGATTGTACGGGGACCGCTTCTGAGCTGAGTTGCCTCGACTCGCCCTGCCTGGAGCACAGGGGGCGCCCTGGTCCGAGGCAGGAATTTATACATGACCACCGCCTCGAGGATCAATTTTCGGGGACCTCGGCAGGCGGTGGATGTGGACATCTTCGGGCCCCCGGGGGCCTATATATATATATATAATAATATATATGTATAAATCTATATATATATCTATATTTATATATATATTATATATATATGATGAAAGAGCGTGTTCTACCGCTGCTGGCGGAAAACCGGGGGGGCACTACCGGTTCGAACCCCCCCCCCCCCCCCCCCTCCGGAAAACCGGGGGGGGTCACTACCGGTTCGAAACCCCTCCCCCCCCCCCCAGTCATCATGAAAAGAGGGGGGGGTCACTACGGGTTCGAGTTCCCCCCCCCCCCCCCCCCCCCTCGAAAACCGGGGGGGGTCACTACCGGTTCGAACCCCCCCCCCTCCTCGAAAACCCAGTGGGGGTGCGTGACACGGGATGGAAAGGCGTTGGTGGGGACAGTGGTAGGGGGGCAAAGGTTAGGGGGACAATGGTGGGAACAATGGGGACAGCGGGACAGTGGTGGGGACGGTGGTGGTGGGGACAGTGGTGTGGGGACAATGGGAATGAGGTGGAAACAGTGGGACAGTGGAGGGTACAATGGTGGTGGGGACAGTGGTGAAGGCGGTGGCGAGGACGGCGGTGGTACAATGGGACAGAGGTACAGTGGGGACAGTGGTGGGGACAGTGGGGACAGTGGTGGGAACAGTGGGACAGCTCAGTGGGACAGCGGAGGAGTTAGTGGGACAGTGGGGACAGTGGGGATAGTCGGGCAGTGGTTGGGGCCGTGCGTGGAGACAGTGGGGAGAGTGGAACCGTGGTGGGAACAGTTCTGGGGACAGCGGGGACAGTGCGACAGTGGTGGGGCCACTGGTGGGGACAGTAGGGGCGGTGGTGGAACCAGTGGGGACAGCGGTGGTGAGGACAGTGGTGCTGGGAACACCAGTGGGGGATGTGATGCGGACGGTACATACATACATGTATATATGTATGTGTATCTCTCTCTCTATATATATATATATATATATATCCACATCCGCCGCCCGCCGGGGCACGAGGACGTCGCTTCCCAGGCGCTGGACGTGGATACATCCCCGCCTCGCGCCTGGGGGCACACGCGGGCCTATACAGAGGCCGCTCTCGGGCTCTCCCGGGGGCCAGGCCCCCCGGCCCGGCGCCGTCCAGGAAACGGCTCGGGAGGAACGCCTGGTCCCTGGCTTCAATCAGGAGGAAAAAACACACAGACACAATTAATCTTCAATTCCCCAGAAAATTATCCCGGCAAAGCAACCTAACAGCGATGTGTAGGAGCATATCTGGAAGCATTCCCCTTAAGATTCAGATGAGAATCCAGTTGTAGAATTCTGCTGTTCTCGCAGTCGTAGTCGCATTCGCGATGACAGTCGCAGTGGCAACGGCAGTCACAGTCGCAGCCTCAGCCTCAGCCTGCCTCAGCCTCAGCCTCAGCCTGCCTCAGCCTCAGCCTGCCTCAGCCTCAGCCTCAGCCTGCTTCAGCCTCAGCATCAGTCTGCCTTCGCCTCGGCCTCAGCCTCAGCCTGCCTCAGCCTCAGCCTGCATCAGCCTCAGCCTCAGCCTCAGCCTGCCTCAGCATCAGCCTGCCTCAGCCTCAGCCTCAGCCTGCCTCAGCCTCAGCCTCAGCCTGCTTCAGCCTCAGCCTCAGTCTGCCGTCGGCCTCGGCCTCAGCCTCAGCCTGCCTCAGCCTCAGCCTGCATCAGCCTCAGCCTCAGCACGAAGCGACCCAGCTAGAAGGACAAAGCGCTGAATGTACACCGATGTGTTCGACGACTGCGTATGTAATGATGTGACGATATACAGACTGAGCCCTTCGTGAATGTCTACATGTTTTTCTGACGCCTACAAACGGCGCTGACGTGTGTGAGAAAATTGTCCGCGCAGCAAAAGCCGGCGAAGCGTGCGGGAGCTCGCATGCTGAGACAGACTACGTCTGCAGACCGCCAGCTGCAAAAGGTTGCGAGCGGCTCTTGGAAGATGTTTACGGAACGGAGCTACGGTGTCTGAAAACATTGGCATCGAAACGAAGAGCCTCGGAGCCCTGCAACCTGAGAAACACCGCAGGAACTCGCATACTGAAAAGGAATGCATTGCAAACCGCACGCTGCGAACCCTGCAGGCTGAGAAGCACCGCAGGATGTCGCATGCTGAAAAGCACTTGTACTGCAGAGCGCTAGCACTCCATCTCGGGCTCGGACCCCCCCGTCCTGATCCAGAACGTGTCCGGCCACGGCCTGAAAATGCCGTTCCAACTCCCGAGGATCAGCTGGCACTCCGGCTCTGGGACACTCCAGTACGTCTTGAGCACCTTGAGCCAGGCCCCATCTCGGGATCCCCACAGCACGCTGTACTTGACCGAGACCGTGCCGAACTCATAACAATTGACCTCCGAAGGACCTGCGAGTGCAGGCTGAGAAACACCACGCGATTGCAGGGCACGGCATTGCGTGTCACATGAGTGCAGGCTGAGAAGCACCACATCTCGTTTGCCAGAGATCACTCCCAGGTTATTTGATCCCGCAACACCAGCCACGGCGTAGCTGCCACAGGGGCCGCAGATAGCAACGGTTCGGTCACCCAATTGGCGTTCCGGTGAGTCACAATTCGCGCGTGGCTCCACGAGCCTGTGTAGCGCGATTTGCGGGGCACCAGTGTGCTGTAGGTGTTGTTGCCGTAGCAGAAGACGGCCTCTGGAGCCCAGTGCGGATTCCAGCGGACAGCGTAGACCCTGTGGACGCCATTGCGGATGACGTCGCGCGCACCTTCGATATGTGCCACCCATCGAAGCCAGTCAAATGCTGAGCCATCGGTGATGTCAACAGCACCTGGGGCAGTCTCGCCATGGTGGTAGTGCAACAGCGATTGGAGAGCGGCGCTGGCTTCGTCGCGGCCCACAATCTGGCGCGAGCAGGCTGCCTCTTGCAGGTGCTCCTGTGTGAAGAGCAGTGGGGCATCACCGCCAGTCTCGGCAGGCTGAGCAGCGCCACCGTCAGGCACGGCAGTCTGAGCAGCGCCGCCACGAGGAACATGAGGCTGAGCAGCGCCAGGCTCAGGCACGGCAGGCTGAGCAACGGCGCGTGGTGGACCGACATAGGTGGGCTCATCGGGTCGGCCGTTCTTATGGTAATGCAGGCGCATGGCTGAACCGTCTGCACGACGGAACTCGAAGAAGTGCCTGCCGTGGCCATCCGTGTTGGAGTAGTTAGGGTCGCGCTCTGTCTCGATGATGCGAAAGAGAACCTGGGCGATGCCCTGCCCGATTATGCGCTCAGCGAAACCCGGAGCGGCAGACCGAAGCAGTTGCTTCCAGTCGTAGGACGGGTCGTTTGTTACGTCTTTGAACGACAAGTTGTTGACAATGCACTCGGCGCGCAGCGCGCGCTGCCACTGGCAGGCGGTCTTGCCGCCCATCCCTGGTGTACGGCGGATGTCTTCGAGGTGAGCCTGCTCAAAGACCACGTCGACACCTGGCTGAGGAGTCGGTGCGGGCGGATCCGGCAGAATCTCCCACGGGCCATCGCACGGGGCCGGGGGTGGCGGGGGCGATGCCTTGCCGCGTGCTGGCATTGTGACAAGGCAGGCTGAGGAGCACCGCCGCGGCTGGACGGCCAGGTGAAACTCGAGCAAACATGTGGCTACAGCTCTAAGCAAAATGGCTACGAGGAGGTTAAGGATGATGATGATGGTGTTGATAGGAAACCCGGTATCAGCGAGTTGATGTACAATGAGGTGTCCGCAAACGAGACACTGCTGTCAACGCTGTTATAACTAACCACAAACGAGACACTGCTATCAACGCTTGCACAATTAAAAAGAAACGCTGGCATTGACACTACTAGCAATACCAAAGTGGAGTTTAAACGAGGCACTGCCATCAACCGATTCAACTTCCAATAAAAGAAGATCACAAATGAGTTCACTCTGAAGTGACCCATGGCTATCAATGCGAGAAGTCTCTGCAAACTATTCACTCATGGCGACCGCCGCGCACACGCGTGTAGGAAATCGTTGATGATGATAGTGGTAATGGAGTGGGGGCCAGTAATGCAGATACACTGCTGTGCATTCACTTGCTGCGAAAAGAAACTCTGTATGAATGAGTTGATATATAAT